TTTTTTTTTTTTTTTTTTTTTTTTTTTTTTCAGTAAAGCCAGCGAAGTTTGTCAGAGTTGAGGGGAAAATGGATAAAACTGAATAAGAGTACGATCCTACAAGAAAACCTGTTAGAGGACAACAACCCTGAACATACAGCCTGAGTGGCAACTCCATCGTTTTCGAAGCATATGCAGGTGTCACAATGGCCTAGTTAAAGCCTAGTATTGTTGAAAACTCTGTATGCTTTTCGTTTTATTTCACAATCATGGTTTGTGTTGGTCTATCACATTAAATCCTACTGACTCACATTGCAGTTTGTGGTTGTGATGTAAGAAAATGCTAAGATATGAAAACTTACGCTCTGTGTGAGGTGCATATGTTGTTTAACAGCTACAGTGGTACGTGGAGGAACAAACAGGCGTGAACGCCTCTGTTACCGTAGCACTGCAATTTTTAAATGCTGTAATCCCTTCGTACAATCAGCTAATCCTTTATAGATGAAATAGCTGTTGTCAAGACAACGCAGCACAGCACCTCAAACCTGCTCTAGATGAGTTGTTGCTCATTTTACTAAAGACCATTATTGATGGATTACTCTGCTTTGCCTGTTTCTTGTTAATCTTTCATCCTTCAAATGGCGCCTGAATATATTTGGCATCAAATCATAAGCGCTCTAAGGAAATGCCAGTCTTCATCCTCATGTAACTGTGTGTTTAAACACACAGGATCATCCAGTAACACACACACACACACTTTTTTTTTTTTCCCCCCAATCACGGTGTTCAACCGCATGAAGTTGCACAAACTTAACGACTGCTGCAGCTGTTTCCCTGTTGTTTCCAAACAAACACACACACACACACACACACACACACACACAATCACACACACAGCATCCACGTGCTCTTCAATCACGGCGCCTTTTTCCTGGCTTTTAACGGGTCCCGACGGGCCCCGCTGTATGGATGTGCTGCTGCTCGCAGAGCGCTGACTCAGCAGGAAATTACCATTCAGCACGGACAGCTTCATGCAGCTACTACGCTGTGATATAATGCAACGCCACCACTGTACCACCCTGCGGGGAAGATGGCGGTGGAAGGACGAGAGCGAAGCATCAGACCGCAGCCCCCCCCGCTCCCCCCAGCCCAACAAATTTACCATCTCTGCCAGACACAGGAGCGGCCGCAGACGCAGGTTTAGCTGTGGGGCTGTAATAAAGGAAATTAGCCTGAAAGTCCTGAACTGAACTTCCAAGAAGGATTTTCACACTTCTGAGGCAAAAGATGTGGTAAAAAGGAACGCCTGGTGTAATAAATTATAATAAATTAAGCCTTGGAGAAGAGCGAGATCTCAGCATAAGAAGTAGTCCCTGTAGCAGTAATATTCCCGGCTACCCATAAATTCTGGCAGGTGATTTGTGAGTTTAATCAAGATGCTATTGCTTCATAATGGAGAATAAAGCCTTTTCTGTGCAACCTGCAACACTGATGGCTTTAGGTATCAGGTAAAATCGACAGCAGCACTTTACGTGGCGGTAGTCAGTTTAAGCAGCTGCTTGGCGTGCTGTGAACTGTGTTGAGAAGATTGGCTCTCACTCCCCTTGACAATATGCAACAGATGTGGATCTGCAAACACCTGAAACATCTTATGCCATGCTTAATTTGTAGCCGTCATGTGTAAAAATCACCAAAAACCCATTAGTCAGACAAAAAAAAAATCCAGATTTTCCCTCATGCTGCATCTGGTGCTGTGTTTTTAATGCGAATGTGATTTTTTTTTTTTTTTTAAAAAAAGGGAAGACATGCAGTTTTTACACTGTGGACTTAGCAATATTATTGACTTAAAGACGAAACCGAAATGTATCACAAGAGTAAAACTGAGTGTTTTATTAAATTTCTACAGGATACCGCCTGTGATACCATTTAAATTATTTTCTAGAACCCTTGTTTAGCACTTCGACTGGGTCATCAATGCATTAGTGCCAATTATCGAAATGCATAAAAAAAAGGAAAGCCTGGCAGCCAAAAGAAAAACTGCAGAAAGCAGTGCAAAGATCATTATCTATTAAACATAAGCAGATGTGAGTCATTGGAGAAACGTAGGAGAAAAGAAAAGAGTGAGAGGAGGACAGAATGGCATCTTCTCACTAACAATTGCAAAATGAAGAAATTATAATACTTGTTTCCCACAGAAATAATAAAAAACTTACTCATCAGTCTCAATTCTTGTAGTGTATCAGATTAAAGCAAACAGGACCTAACATCAAATATTTAATCTATGCTCGACTTCGATGTTAATGTTTCTAGTATGGTATATTCTCCAACCACCAGGCTTTGCGTAGATCATTTCTGGGTTAATGAAGTGCCATCATGCAGACAGAAAACACTGATTATAAGAAGGTGTGCATGCATGCATGGGTCTGTGTGTGTGTGTACCTGCAGCACTATAGGGAGCTGCTCAGGAGGGTTTCTGTTCTCCACACCCATGGTCAACCAGACCTGAAACGCCGTGAGCTGCTCTGCGAAGAACGGACTGTGCTGTGGACACAAGCAGCAGAAGTAACACAGATATTAGAGCTTTTACTGCGCTGAATCGCCTTCTCTCTTACATACACACACACGCAAACACGCGCACGCACAGCCAGTCTGCAGCAACTAGCTCATCAGTTCATAAAAAGGGCCAACATAATGAGCTGAGAGGTGACACTGCACTGCAGCAACAACATAAATCCCGATCGATCATGATCAGCTTACCGTCTCTGTGGTCTCTTCTGCCGCGGCAGGCCACCTGATTGGCTGCTCGCCCCACGCTATTTGATCATGCTGTGAGGTGAAATTACAGCAGGAATCATGCCATGTTTGGGTATGGTAATAGATCTTGAGGAGGGAAATGACAGCACTGAACTGGATGGGTGGATTAATTTATGAATAATCACAGCAGGAAAAAAAAAATACTTCACCAAACGTTGACCTTATTCATTGGTTTTTGAAATGTAAAGCATGCTGGGTAGATAATCTGCACTTAGAAAATTACTAATTTGTTCAATTAAAGATTGAAGAAAAAACAAAGTTTCATCAACAGGAATATTTAATGTCCCAGAACAGCAATTTCACACTTGTTGCCCGAGAAGGGAGCCAATATTAGGGTACTTGGCAAGGAGTCCTTACAACCTCAAAGACCAGCAGAAATCCAAATGAGATGCTGTGGCTTGACCTCAAAAACCCTCCAACGTGGCTGAATTAGAACAAATCAGCAAGGATGAGTGGACAAAATACCTCTACAGCTGTAAAAGATTCACTGCAGGTTATCACAAATGCTTTATTGCAGTTGTTCACACAGGTCCATGTAGGGCTGGATTTTTCCCCCTTATTAAAAAAAACATACTTATTAAAAAGCTGCAATTTGTGTTTACTTGTTTCGTCTTTGACTAACATTTAAATTGGTTTGATGTTCTGAAACGCTGAAGTATGACAAGCGTGCAAAAACGTATGAAACCAGGAAGGGGGCAAACACTTTTTCACACCACTTTTCTTGTCATCAATTTTACCAAAGCCTCAGAAAGTAATGTGTATAGCTGAAGAGCACCAGAAAGATCTTAAAGACTCCTGAATTCAACACAGAGCGGGAAGATCTTCTTTAAAGGTCCTCCGGGGCTCAATTATGATGCCGGTAAGTGTTTTCAGCCTGAGTGCTAGGGAAAGTGTGGAAGGGAAACTGCCCACAGGGGAGCGATGGAGAAGAAGCCCACCTCCGAGGGCGAGGTGGACAGGAAAAAACCCCCAAGATTAAAGTGCTAAAGTCTCCTGAACAGTTTCCATTACAAAGTACAGGTTGTGACTGATCTAGCTGCAAATCAGAGGACCAAGTCGGCTCATGCATAAAAAAAAAAAAAAGAAGTTGATTGAGATATATGAGCCCATCATCAGTTGAATAAGCCTCTTGCAGCATGTTTTCATTGAACTCAGCATCTCTATCAGAGTCCCCTGCCGTGTCAGTAAATATAACAATAAACACACCAGTGGCTGAAAGTGCAGGGCCAGTGGTTTCAGAAAACCGTTTTTTATTTGACACTCATACTTGAGTTATAAGACCTGACATTTTACAATATCATCCACTGGGAATGTGTGAGTATGAGTAATTATCAGAGATGGTGGTGGTGCTGATGGAGGAAAAGCTGCAGAGCAAACGAGAACCGTTTGGTGTTCCTGGACATCAGTGGAGGACAGAGGCCATCTATCAAAGATGGCATCCTGTTATCTCTAACGTTCCCATCGTCACTTATAAAAACACACCAAAAAGGATTTGTCCGCGTTTTTAAAGCGTCAGAGTCCCCGGTTTATCTCTCCACAACACGCACACGCACACAAACACACACACACGCACACGTGCACGTGCACACACACACACACTCACTCTGAAGGCGGTGCCCTCCTCGATGATGGTAGGCAGCTGAGAGAGGCAGATGTCCACGGCCAAGTCCCAGGCTTGCCTGCAGGGGTGAAACACGGAGACACAAGCCACGTTAGAATTACATCATCTGATCTTCAAAAACAACACAAATCAGGTAATAATACAAAAAAAGTTACGTTTTAAATTCACAAAAGTTTTGCTACAACAATTAATAAAACAGAGTAATTAGAACAATAGTAGCAGTATCAATTATGTAATTGTAATTACAAGAAAGGAAGAAAAGAGTGAAAGTAAGGTGCTTGTAATGAATGGATAATTATGAAATTCTTACTAATAAAACAGAGGGGGTTTTTTTTCAAAGAAAATATTACAAATATATCCATCACATATTATTCAAACTTTAAATTCAATAATAAAATCAATAGTGGCACTTTCTCCCAGTACAGTTTATTTGAATAAAAGCACTATTTGCTACATCTTATTCAACTGGTCAGTGAAACAGACAGTAAATCAGCCAACTGCTGATTTACTGTCAGCAGTACATTGAGTTGGCAGCAACTCAATGTTTTTAGACATCTACACGACTTGCTGAAGTTCAGAGGCATTGGAAAGGAGAAGACTGACGATGAAGAAAGGAGAAGTAAGTCAACTCTGAAATCACAGGAAACTGAATTTCCAATGAAAACATTTGCAGCTGCAAGATTTGGATGGCTGGGTTTCATTTTGGCATAAACACAAAACCGTGGAGGTATCCTGCCTCGTTTCAACAATTCAAGCTGCTGGTGGTGTCATGACGTGGGAAATAATATCTTGATAAAATTAAGGATTGTTTTAACGCCACAGCCTACTGGAGCGTTGCTGCTGACCATTTCTATCACTTTCCAACGACGGTGTACAGTTCTTCTGATGGACACTTCAGCGGGATAACGCACCATGTCATAAATCATCTCAAACTGGTTTCTTGAACACTAAGTTGGCATTGGACCTCAATCACAGAGCTCCTTTGGGATGTGGACGAACCGGAGATCTGTGTCGTCAATATGGATTCGACAAATCTGCAGCAACAGTGTGATGCCATCGTGTCGATATCAACCAAAATGGCCGAGGAATGTTTCAGACATTTAATTCCAAAGAGGCAGTTCTGTTATGTCTTATTTATCATGTATTATTTATCACACATGTCTTCACTATCATATTGTAATAAGCTTTGTCATACAAATAGTTTTTCTAGTGTTGTAGTGGCCTTTATCAAGCTGAGGTTCCTATTAAAACGGTAGCAAACGATGCACTTATGAACAATTATTAATGTATCTGAAACTTGAGAAATGAGCTGAAAAACATTAATTACAAATTCTGATTTATATTAAACACAATTTCTTGGGTGCTAAAATTGTTTTTTTCCCCCAGAAATAAAAAAACAAAAAAAACAAAAACAAATCGAGCCACTCTTTAGACCACCTTCTGCTCGGTTTGTTGGGAATTCAATCTTTCACCCAGGTCTACTTATATATGTATGAATCAAAATGTATTTCATTTGCTTTGGTTGTGTCTTGTCACATAACACAGCTAAATTTATTTTCAGTTTGTACACAAGTGCAGGTCAACACCAGGTCCGTGGTCGAGTTTTTAACCCCAGCGTTCAAATCCATTTTTCTCGGATCAGATCGTCTCCCCTGCATTGTTCTCCGAGCGCCTACAACTCCTGAGATTTCCTTCCATGGGTCCTGGAGAGGGCAGTGAGGAGCCTTTAATCCCCCTTCTAAACACCCAGCTATTCTCCCAGGGTCATTTTTAATTCATGGGGTTATGCAACCCACATCAAACCTTATCACAGCTTCTCTTTTCTCCCTTTCAGCCCATCTCCTCTAACCCTCCGCTTTCCAGCTTCGTTTTCTTGCAGAAAATTGAACGCAGAGCCTCGCTGGGGCTTTTTCCTCTCAGTTAGCATGAGTTAGAGGTTGATTCATGTTCCCAGTTGATGCACAGCGATGTAATGTGAAGCTGAATGAATGATGCAGGGTTCACCCTGTCTGAGACTCTTTCTCCTGCTCAAATGGCTTCTCCCATTATTCCAGAGTGATATAATGGAGTTGCACTCCTGGTTGACAGCACAGTGCAGAACATGTAATGGATTCACTGACGAATGTGCAACATGAAAACATATAAAGGTAGCTTGATTAAGGCTATTGGGGGGTTTTTGTCACCAGCAGCAGCAGCACAAAGAATTAGCCCTGTGGTAAAAATCTGCGCAGTAAAAAGCTGATTGCATCCCTAAGAGGAGATGCTGTTCATCAAGTAGCAATTTTCAGCCACATACAGTGTCGGCCGTAAAGAATCTAGATCTAATTAGGCTCACAATGATTGGGCCTGGTCTGAAAAACACAGAATTTAAATCTAGTTCAGATGCCGTGGCATCTCAATACGCAGACTGTTTATGCACACTTGGGTTATTCTCAAGTGTTAAATTTGGTAAATGATCTGAAACAGTTGCATGATAAAAATATATTACAAAAAAGATGAAGAAACCTCAGTGTCCAACTACTCTGTTTCTCAGTAACAGTGTATCATTGTTATAGCAGACTGAAATAAAAATAATAGAAAATTAAAGCAACAAATCAACTGCGTATTATTTGTTCTCCTTGAACAAATCAGTTATGAAAACACTACATTCTGGTTTCATAACTTGGGATTGGGAAATTGCCAGCTCACGAGTCCATCCCTGACGGCTTTTATGCAACCCGTCGGCATATAAACAACCAGAAAGCACCATATTATCTGCAAGAACGTACTCTCAGGACCGAGGCTGCTCCAAGTTTATTATGGCACGGTTAACCCGCTCACAAGGCCGTAGAAGTGACTCATCACCAGAGATCATGCGTGTGTCGAGTGTGAAATGAAGGGAAAGCTGTGTAGGGGAGCATTTGGCGGCTGACTAAGCTCTTTTCTCTGGTTGCCTGCAGAGAGTGGTGCAACAACATGCACCAATATAAAACAGACATACACTACTGGCAATTAAATGGCTGGCAAGGGAGTAATCAGCCTCGGGCTTATTTGCCCTGTCCTGTTCTGCCCCATTTGAATAACAATAGCTGTTTGTGTTTTGGAACCAACATGAATCAGCAAGCCCTTAAAAGTACTTATTCCCTCCTCTCCATCCTGTCCGGTCCAGTACATGCTGGCCCGAACTTTTATTTCCTACTTGCCTTTTATCTCCAACACTTACTCTCTTTATTGCCCACACAGTTTGGTTTCCTAGACTCCTAAAGCACTGCTCAGTCGTTACTCTATCCTGCTTAATATTGCATGTGCTGTTGTGAAATCCCAATTTGTTGGGCCGCAAACACTGAAAAGCACCCGCAATCTAAACTAATAGGGATGAACAAGCGAGAAAGAAAGACTACAGCATGCTCAAGGAGTAAAGAGCAGTATTTGTTACAGGGAGAGATGCCAGGCGGTTACACAACGAGCCTCTCCTGGAGGCTTTGCCAACGCCAGCCAGATAATGAGTGGGAGAAGCAGAAAGAGGCATTTTTAGAAGACGATGCAAAGGGGAAAAAAAATGATGGAGAGATGTTTGTGTAACTAAAGGAAGATGGATGATTAGATAATGGCTTTTACATTGTGCAAAAGAGGAGTCGGACAACAGCAGGCCTTTGTGTATAAACATGTATGTTAATGAGAAAACATGGTGGACAAATGGAAAATGGTGGACAAAATGAAATAAATGGGGTTTATTTCAATTCACTGTTTGTCTCATTAAGCAGTAAAGAATCACATTATTTCCTAACTGAAGAAACCTTTTGGAGGTTTTTTAAAGAGGTGAAATATCTTCAGAATATATATTAACTGTGTTTAATTCAAATAATTAAACAAGCAAAAAAGTGCATATATAGCTTTTGATTAAAAACTCTTTTTTTTTCTTCCTAATTTAATGATCTGTAACAACTTGAATATTGTTCTGGAGATTGTTCAGATGTACTCCCGTAAGGGCTACACATAACCCACAAAAACAAAAATGGGTTCTTTTAAGTGGTTTCTTTTTGGCCTGAACAGTTCATACTTCACAAAAACTCAAGGGCTGAGGTATTTTTTTGTATATCATTGTCGAACACGAGACCAAACAAAAAGTTCTGCCCCAATCTGTCAAGAGGAAGCTGCAATAACATCCAGCCAGAGATGCAGGAGTGTAAAGATGTCCTTAAAGCACTAGGAAAGGGAACTAATTTCTCTGTTTTCGCATAGTGTGTAGTTTGTTAAAAAGAGCACTTGAGTAATTCAATAGTCATATCTTGTATCCCATTGATTTTGGATGTGCTTGATGTCAAAACACTGTTCCCATTTTCTCCCTTCTGTCTATTCCACAAAACATGAACACTTTAAAGCATCAATTCAAGAGAAATATATCATAAATGCATTAAATAACTAATGAACCCTATAGAGTCCAATCATATTATGTTCCATTTTAACTACATGCAGCGTATCCGTAAAGGACTCAAAGTGCTTCACTTTTTCCACATCTTGTCATGTTACAACCTCGTTACAAGTTGTAGTAAATTAATCTTCCGCAAAATTCAACACGCAAATGACAAGATGGAAAAAAGTTTGAGATTTTTGCAAATGTATTAGAAATAGAAAACCAGCCACCACAACACATCACACAATCACAAACACATCACCAGGTTTTCTCTGCCTACTTCATATCTAATCTACTGTATATAACAGCCACTAGTGGCAGAAAGATCTTCAAAACACGTCGTGCAACACAAATTACTCCTCAACAAAGCAGAAAATCTGCAACAGAAAACAAAAGAGATTTGGTCAAGCCAAAGTCAAGACCGCAACCCGAGTGGCAAAACCTCAACAGATCTCTACAAGTTTCATTGAACTGAGGCGATTTAGAAGAATGAGTTTGCCAAAATTCCTCCACAAAGATGTGAGAGACGCTTAAGGTCCAACAGAGAACAGTAACGACAACTTTCTCCCGCAAAAAGCAGCTCAACAACAGGTTCTTACAGACTATTGGAGCATTCTGGCTAAGCCTCTTAAATAAATATTCAAACAGAATAATATGCCTTTTTTATTCTGATATTAAAAACCATGAACTAAGTAATCACTCCTGTTCTTTTTCCAGTTACTACTACTGTACTGGTGGTAATTTTCACCGCTATAAAACACTGAGCTCACTGCTGACAGCAACACTGGCAACAGTCAACATGAGGGGAAAAAAAGGATGCAAAGAAAATAATGCATGAAGGGTTTGCATATGTTCAAAGGCAGAAACATATAAAAACACCTCCACACGTTGGTTCAGGCCTCCACACCGATACTTATTTAAGGAGGCTGTGAAAGTGACTCAAGCATTCATATTGCTTACATGTAATCTATGTTCAGAGCAGCTCCAGGATGCTGTGTTTATCTTCAGTTTGCTTATAGATCCGTGGCTGTAAATGAGAGACAGGGCAGCAAACCTGTTGTATGTTTGAGGACGCATAAAGCATCTGTTGCATCACTGGAAAAAAAACAAAATAACAAAATGTACCAGAGAAGCTATTGATTTTTCAGCTCACCTGGATTTTCTTGAGTCAGGAACAAAAAGAAATGTGAAAGCAGCAACTTTGCTGTGACTAAGGCCTGTTTAGGATCACGCTTTCATAAAAAACACAAACAACCACAGGCTCCCCTCTTAATGGTTCACCTTCATCATTCACATTATGTGTTTGTATTTGGGTTATAATTGCTTTTAGAACACAGCAAGGAAAACAGGCATTCATATAAAAAAATAACAGGAAGTCCCTGGATGTGATGTACGTAATAGGTTAGCTCGATCGTGAAGGAAGCTGCACTATGAAGTTTACCAGAAACTAAATGTGCTGTAATCAACCCCACAGGGAGCAGGGCCACGGCATCTTCATCAGCAATAACATGTCTTAAACATTCCTCTTACTCCAACTTTAATTCACTTCCTGTGTTGCCAATGCCAAACTACCACCCTGTATCACCCTGTATCGTAAGACAATGATTCAAAAACAGTGCAGAAAATCGGTATCATCTTTCACAACTCCTCCTTGTGTTCACTGATTATCCAGGTTGAAATTCAACTGGAGAAATCAAGCTCAATGGGAGAAATCCTAGACAGAGCAATAAACGGGGATGAGAATTGAGTGAAATTGGGTAGGAAGGTAATGGCCAGACAGGAAACATCCCATTAAATATTAAACTCTCCACCAAGATATTTTTCACATTTTATTTATTGCTGGAAAAGAAAGAAAGTTAACTGAGATTAAACAACAACAAATAATCAACTTTTAATCCACAAAAGAACTTAACAAAATGTGCCTTCCATGTGAGGATAAAGTTAGGACACCCTCAAATAGCTAGTTCTAAACCCTTTGTCTGAAATAACTTCTGGGAGGCATCTATCAAACTCTGACTGTCATGATGTTTTTGAGCGATTTCTTGCATGTACAAGCCGTTTCAATGGAGAGTCACAAACCAACCAAATCTTTAAAAAAAAGGAAGCAGTTTTGTTCCAGTTAGAAATCCCTTCACACTGACACACATTAGCTTCCAGGCATGTTTCACTGTTTGAATTCACTTCTAATTTCCCAGTTGATTTTTTAAAATGTTCATTCATTAAACATACATACCGTTACATAAAGAGGATAATGCTGTTTCCTAATAAAGAATATGTCTCTTAGAAACTCTTGTCATCCTTTAATTGCTTTCTGTCTGAGTTAACAGACAGGCCTTCAGGGTGACTCCTGTCTTTCCTCTAACCTCCAGCTCTACGAAGCCACAGACGTCTGCGCATCTGTGTGTTCGTGTAACCCGAGCTCTGCTTGTGAGCGTGTCTTACCACATGGCGTGCATGTATGTGGGGGGCAGGCGGGGGCTGCTGACTGGTGTACAGTTGTACGACCTCATTATCCTCTCCGCAAGCAGGAAATTGCGAAACAAGCTGGCCACCAGCAAGTCCTGACGAAACAACTTCTGGAACAGATCTGAAGTTGGGAATGGAGAAAATAGAAGTGATACATTATTCTGCAGACAGAAGAAGGGCAAAAAAACTAATTAGATTAACCTATGTGTAAGAGTAGAAGAAAATGGGGGCACTTTATATGTGAATGAACAGAACATATTGAGACAAAGTCACTAAATTTGGAAAAACAATCTGGTTTGTGGGTTTGCTTCCACTATGTAAAAGACAGAAAAATGCTTATTTTCAATTAGTCGTGTCCATAATCATGTCCTCTTCTTGTAGTTTATTCAAATAAGATGGTGGGTCTGGACGGCTTGCAGTGTCTGGGCACATTTGCAATATACAGCTAAAACCAGACATTTACATTTTATTAAAAGATGCAATCTTTTTTCCCCTCAGTCTGACATTAAATCACACTAAACTGGTCTTGTTTTTGGTCAGATAGGATCATGAAAATTATTCCTACTAGCTGAATGCCAGAAAAGCGGGAGAGTGAATTCTTTTAACAGGGCACAGTTATGCATTTTCCAGACACACAGTGCCATTTCATAGCACAATCAAGTAACTATGTTATTTTCAGTTTAAAAAGAAATACTGTATATATCAAATATGACATAAAAGAAGTTGGTTTTGTCTCTTTAAGGAGTTCCGCTCTTTCCTTTTCTGTCATTTAGCAAACAGAAATAATATTGGTTTTCCGAACTAAATAAAACCAAGAAAAGAAAAGTTATGTATCCTGTGTTTGCAAATCTCTGGTTTGAACAGTTTGAAATTCTGATTTATAACAAGTCAACCTCAGAGTCTTCAACACATTAGGGATCCACTAGTTTAGCTCAACTTTGACAAAGTCAGGCCACTTCCTTTCCACCGTTTCTGGCTGATGATTATGATTTTACTGTTACTTTTTGGAGATATTTCTTAAGTGACAATGAGCATGTTGTTGGTGACAGGCAGTAGAAGTCTCAGTGTGTGTGAGTGTGTGTGCGTGATTTGGACAAGGTGTATGCAGTGCCTTCATTACAGGAAATCTCTCTGATGTGGGCAGCTTCATTAACAGCGGAGCCCCGAGGCTTTAAAAGGCTTTGGCAGACATCAGCATTGTCACAATGCTATTCTAACCGGGATATGGTTTGTCACGTGGGAGTTCGAGTGTGTGACTGAGAGGATGTGTGTTGAATACATGAAACAGGAGGGAAAATCAAGGAATACACAATCTAGGGGCATGTCATGACAATGAGTGTGTGCGCCAGCGTTTTCATCAGGGCAAGCATGTGAGAAACGGGTAGTTGCGGCGCGGTGTGTCGTCGGCCAAACCCCGGCTCAAGTGATATCCTCAATTATAGTGCGGGGAACTCTAAACACAATTAATCTCAATTTGAAGAGCTGACCCGCACAAACTGCGCTTCTGGCATTTTATATCAACAGCGGCATGATTTCAGCCACTGGGGATGTTCTGATGCTCTCATAGTACTGCTGATGCCTAAACATCGCTGCTTTTTATTTTAGGTGCCCCACTTTGGACTCCCTGAGAGCTGAGCCACGTGGGACGCTTTATTTTTCATCATTGCCCAGATATGTTTAAAGAAAGAATTTAGTATGCCTCTGATGTCTTTGCAAGCTCATCTTCCAGCCCCCGACACCCCCCACTGAGTGGTTTCAAACATTACTTTTAGCTTATAACAGCAACATCTTTTAAAAAGGAGCTTATTTTCCTGATTCTGACGGCTGGTTAGTGCGCCTATAACAAATCAGCACGCTAAAGCATTAGTAGAAATTCCTTATAAAGCTTTGTTTTTTTCAATTAGCACAGCAGAGAAAGTGCGGATCATTTGGTTTTTGGATTACTCGACTGTTGCTGTTTACATGTGTACCGCACAGCGGGGGGTTGTGCTTATGATGTAAAATACAAGAGAGAGGAGACGGTGAGAGCATCCCTGCAGAGGACGCTCAATCGTTCACCAGATTTGATGCAAATTGACGCGTTTCTGAGGAAAATCAGCTTTCTATGAATACTTGTACCATTACAAATCTTTTGACTGAACTGAGATGATCTGAGAAGGTTAAAACTTCTCATTTTGATTCTAAGACAAGGAAGGAAGTAAAGACGGAAGGAACAACAAGACTTTGTCGAAGGACAGTTTTTCTTACAGAGACGTCATATTTCATTTTGTTGTTTCTGTGGTTTTGTTTATTTTGGATATTTAAAATGTCTGAGAATTTAAAGTTTATTGATCTTTAAGAATGTGTGCATTATTATGCCATCGTTTATCGCTATAACTTCTGGGACAATTTATCGTCCAGCAAAATGTGTTATTGTGACCTGCCTACATTTGTGTGATATGCAAGTATTTTGTTGTGTTCACGTACTTGTGAGGACCCAAATAAATCGGTCTTCCTGGCGAGGAGGAGGCTGTTGGGACGAAGAGACTCACCTCTGGGCAGCACGTTCCACGCGATGGTGTCGGTGATGGCGGTGAAGATCCAGTTGAGCTCTCCGAGGGGCGTGCGTCTGTCGTTGAGCCTGCCAGGGATCCTGCAACACAACACAACACAGATGGCATCGTGTCAGCCGCGCTCACCGCATGTCACAGGGTTTACTCATAGCAAAAAAAAAGCAGCAACTGTTCTGCACTATTACAACACCATACGAAGACATTAACATTCGAAAGCACCAAGTTTCTTACTCAGAGATTAGCAGCTGAATATTCATGTGTTTTTGTGCCTCAGAGTCGCTGAAGGCTGAGATCAGACTGACACCAGGAACAAACACAAAGTAAGTCCGGCCTCGCTTTGATCATGGTTGAGATCTACAAGATAAGATGTTTTAAGAGGCAGCTATATTGCAGCAACGTCGGCTGGGATGTCTTCACAAAGTGAGCTGCATGAAAACAAATCTGTGTTCTGATTTGACTTGACAAGGTGTCTCAGTAATATTTACACAGGTGGCCATCTCCTGCTGATCCTGGTAAATAGTATTTCCGCTCTTACAGTAGCGCCTTCTCTAACGTCACAAGACGCTGTAAGATTAGACATGAATCAGTTTTTAAAACTTTTTATCCCCTAGATTTCTCCTGTTTAATTTTTTTTTTTCCTTTTTTTGTTGAATTTTCATATCAATCTAATTTTAATGTCAAAGACTGATAACCTGGTTCAGGTTTAGTATCCACCGAAGAAATATCTTAACGTGAAGTAGGGGAAAACAGTCAATGTCTAAGCTCTTGAGATCTCCATGAGCAACAGCGGAAGTCATTATCCATTAAGGGAGAAAACAGGGATCAACCTTCCCATGGTGGCCGGTTCAGGAAAATTAATCCATATGTGAATCAATGACTCATCCAGGAGATCAGTAAAGGCCCCCTACAGACCTTATGTGTCACAGTTAAGGTCAGACTTTGTATTAAAAAACAAGAGACTGTGTAACATGACATCATGAGAGACCTGTAGACCTTAGCTTTACGTACAGTTGGATTAAAAAGTAGGACAATGATCCAAAGCTCGCCAGCAATTTCTTCTCTAACAGAAACAAAATAAATAAAAACAGAAATCATGAATCTTAACAAGATGGCAGATTTTTGTAAATGCAAATGCTATTTGTACTGAAGAAAGCAACAAATATCACAAAAAGAAGCCATGAAGTTCTTAATCAGTTCTCTTGTTGTTGTCTATCAGATATAAAATAATCAAAACTGAAAACAAATAAAACTTGATGGCAATAAAAGCCGACAACAAATTGATAACCTCCTCTTCTTACAAGCCTTCTGGGTTTTTGCCATCAAAAACATGGAATTTGTCAATATGCAGAACATACTTTTTATATGACGTTCCCATTTCCCTTTAAATGCATCCATTTTTACTCAATGTTAAATGTGAGTCTGAGAAAGGTGAATCAGTCACTTCACAAAACAAAAAACTAAGATCTTTAGGTTTTGCATAAAATCTTAATATTCACTGTACAACCTTTAACTGTTTCCATCCAGATTTCGCCACAAACTGTCATTTCCAAACATCTGTCATCATCATTGGATTCCACACCGGAGCACAAGCATACTCACTTTCCCATTCTCAATAATACATTACATCTCAAGTCGTTTATCATCCTCCACCCAAGTTTGTATAAATGTACAACGAGGCTGAACTTTTTTTGACCCAAGCCCTCAATTTCTACCTCTAAGTGACAAATAATAGCAGCTGTAAGGTTCCTGGCACTACCAGCCCCTCTGTGTAACGATGAGGGCCGGCCAACTCCTGAGCACTTTGAGTGCCTGCCAAAGGTGTTTGAAAAGTCAGCAGTCAGGATGAACACTCAGCAGTTCCCATCCTCGCTGATTATTCTCTGTAATACATTTGATGGTGGAGTGAGGGTGAAAAAAAGAAAAAAAGAGAGGCAAGAGGTGGATGGGTGAAGAAATAGATAGATGAATCACTGAATGGGTAAGAATGCCCTCTGAGGTGTTGAGGCTTGTGCCATCAATCAAAGTTTGGGTAAGTTTTGTCCATCTCTCGCTCTCCACATTAAGTTAGGATTTATCGCCCCAATTTAGTTTCCACCAGTGCTCCGGTTTCACATCTATGAGAGTGTCTCCAGTTCCAAATGAAATGAAAGAGTACAACAAAGAAAGTGCTGACATTATTTTGACCCTTTAAAACTTTTCAGAAGTTCTTTATGATGCATCTAGTGGGGAACAAAAAGGCGTCGACCTTAAAAGGTGCAAGACACCATGGCCTGGAAATGAAGACGTGTCACCTGAGATGGTTGTTTGATATTAAAATGCTGGTTTGAACTTTGAGTTTTTTTGTTTTGATTCAAACTCATAGTTCAAAAAGTGAACTATGAGTTGCAACACAACTCTCACATACTGATTAATAAGATATTTAGACCTTTAAAAGCTCTCGTCAGATAGATTAACTGACTAGCACCGGCTAAAAATAAAAAGGAGCCAACGGAGATCCTGTTTTTAAATTGATTGGTTTTTGCAACGTATACTAAATACATTAAAGTCAAAGTTCATATTTAAAAGGCTGCATTGACAGCATGAATATCATGTTGATTCTGGATTACAAAGCCTTAAGATTAAACAAAGAAGTCATCTTTTTTAATGTTTTTATGGACCATCGGTGTGTTGAAGATATAAATCATCATTAACCATCTCAACAGACAGTGATCTCATATCAGCCCCTCGTCAAGGCGACAACTTTATTCCCTGTAATTTGAAAGAGTTGATTCTGGTAGCTCATGATTTTGAAGGTACTGTAGATCACGTGACACTCGAGTTTATAAATACATCAGTAAATAAGACACTGGATGTAAACAAGCTGAGAAGGCTCTGCACGAAGGCGGAAAAAGCTCCCAGAAAAATATACAAACATCTTTGCCACCTTGAGGGAACGGCTTGTTCTCGACGTCACAAAGCAGCGAATGAAAGAAGTATTTCATTCCTGGATCGATGCAGCATTTCCGCTCTGTTCAAAATAGAGCTACAACAAAGACACGATTCCCGAAACACAGAGTTGGATATCAGAAACCTGCTAATTGCTAAAGTACAGCAGGTTGGATGAAAAGTCTTATAGTGAAAGGCACAGAGGATGACTTAATATGGATCATCCCACATCACTTGCTTCAACACCCTCCTTTGAGACGAGCGAGAGGGGGTGAGCAGGTAAAATCCACATGCCCTGTGCTTCGTGACTCCATTATGTAAAAAGAGCTCCTGTGACTGGATCCAACCAGAATGTGAGTTGGACGAACGTGGGAAGAAAGGAGACAGAAGGGTGCACAGATGGAGTGAGGACCGAAGAATGATCAAATTAATAAACAAATCATCAACATGCGACTATTCAAAGTTGCCACGATACTGAATTTGTTTCACAACAAAATGATTGTAACAAAGGCGATGAGTGTTTAAGGCCATTTCTGTCCACGTGTAACATTTAAAGGCGAGCAACATGAGTGGACGCTGAGTGTAACGGCTGGCTGCTTAGCCACGCTCGGACCGGTGTTGAATAAGAACAATACGGGAAAATGGAAGAGGGAGAGAGTTGTTTGATCTACCGGTTACAGAACACGTACTGCAGAAACAAGCTGCCTTGTCTCTTTGTCTTTAAGCAAGTGACGTAATCGGGTGTAAATTTCCAAACTTTACGTAAAAAATTTTAACGTGAGTTCAACCAGTTTTCCAAGCAGGGGGTTCAGGTTTGTTTTCAGGAAATGGTGTGACAGTGGAGGCAGCTGAGTTTTTAAGGAGGTGTCTGTCTGTCATCCTTTCAAGCACTTTCCTCCGTGGAGTTGAAACGACACAGTAGCCACATAGCTACAGGCACACAGACTTGACAGAGGTTGTTCTTGTGGTAAAAATGCAAGAACAAAACTAGCAGTGAACCGGTCAGTTTGGGATTTAGCCAATCATCAAATGGCAAAGAATGTGTGAAAAATAAGTAAAAGTCCAAAATGAGCCTTCAAAGACATTTAGAAAAGAAGGATCCAAGCTTCTCAGTCTGATAGAACCAATGAATGAATACTTTCATTTAAAATCTTTTTTTTTTTTAAATCTTTTTCACTGTACTGTAAATATGTCAGTATGTCCATATTCTTAAATAAAACATTAACCCATCTACATCTGCCACAATTTACAGGAATAGGCTGATCTATTAAAGATAAAATTGAGGGAAAGAAAGTCAAATCAATCAACAAAACGAGTCAAGACCTGCAAAAAGGTATAGGAGGTGAACATTAAGTATCACATTAAAGGGTCCTCACTCTGGTGTGGAAACATCAGATTATCTGGATTATGATTAAGTCAAGTAATGAAGTGTTTCGGTTTTCTGTTCGATTTTGAGGCTCAGCTTTAATCAAAGAGCTGGCACAACTCTAGAGAGTTGAGGTGAGATGAGCTTGGTCCCATTTTTCTTTGAAGAGCTCTGGGGATATCCATTATTTAACCAAAGTGGATATTGGCTGACTCAACATTTAACCCCCCACCCCGTGCAACATATAGGACATGCAAGCAACCAAAACAGCACATTTCAGCCACACTGGTCCCACACTGCTGATACTTCAAGACAGACAAGTTAGAAACCCTTCTACAAAAAAATCATTACAACTATTTATAAATCTGCAAGAAAGAAGCAAGTTCTCAAGAAAAATCTACTTTTAACAGGCACAGTGAGTCAAAAGCTGTGTATGAGGTTAAAGTGTTTTATTCGTGGTTAAATTGGGGAAGACAACAAAATATATATGATAAAAAATTTAAAAAAAAAAGCCTCTGACATAAGTCAGTGTGACATTTGTGGGTGTTTGAACTGTCCTTACAGCCAGCAGGTCAAATGTTATTGTTCCTGTAGTCCACAGGATGATTCAGAGGAGACAGGAGATGGAAGATAAAAAGGACATGAGAGCGCAAAGCATAAAGGGAGAGCTTCAGCGTCGTCAAAATCCACCAACTAATGTCAGAATGGTTGAGAAGAAAGAATATAGGAGTGAAAAAAAAAATGTTATACTTGTTCAAAGGTTCCCATCCTGCCTTTGGGAGTCATTCA